TAAGGCCCTTAGAAGTCGCAGAGGAAAAAAGAAAAGTTATCTGCGAGATTCAGAGATATAGTTCGTTGTCACTTCTACCAGGTTTAGGAAATCGGTCTGGTGATTTTGTTTTCCCCTACGATTTTTCTTCTCAAAAATATTTTGGACTATTACGACCATGGTTACTTGTATATAGGCAATCATACATATGCATGTGCCCAACGTTTTTTGGGAAGACAAGTCTACATCGGAAAAATGCGATGTGATTAGGAGAGCGCAGACGGCATGACATATTATTGAAACAACACGCCCGTTAGAAGGCGGGGTGTTTCTCTATTCAGTCAAAATTGCGTTGCGTGCTGACTTAACGCCACAAGTAGCGCCCTCTCGATCTCTTCACCCTTTTTATAATGCAGCCATTCCCTGATGAGTATCCTGTTAGCACTTTTGACGTAGAGGTTCTGGGGAGAACAGTGCTCATTGAGACGAGGGAGCATTGAATTAACAAACAAATCAGGTGGTATCGATCAATCTATAAAGTATGCCACGCGCCGGACATCTGTTCGGGATTCCTAGGCATTTGAATCCATTTGAGATTATTATCCGGATCCGCTGGTGATCATCATCCTCCCTTCGAGCGGAGGTGGTGCAGTAAGAAATGGCGCACTATCATCTAGGCGTGGTCACGGGTTCGTGTCTTGAATTGATATTCGCCTAGGCCAACGAAGCCTCCCATCCCTCCAGCTCGGTCAACTGGTACATGTTCCACTGCGATCCGAAATAAAAGTCGAATCCGGAGGCGCATCCTTCATCCCGGATTGATCGACACCCGAAGACCTTATCCTTTATCCTTTATCCTCTCTGTCCTGTAAATGACAACAGTACAATTCTATTATCTCTCTACAACGCCTGGCAACTTCACATAACTCATGGGCTTTACAGAGAAATCGCATGCATGGCTCAATCTGACTGGACAATGTTCAAGCTCTTCGTTCTTTGCGAAGGATGGGGTAAACATCGTAAATTGCTGTTCTTTCGAATTCTCCCAAGTGTTGAGCGTCTCATAAACTCATAGCAGATGTTCTCCTTCTGGTCCAGTGAATCACTGCGTCATTTTTTTCTTCAGCTTAGGCGTCATTTCCATTACTTGTGACTGATCGGCCTGCCGTAAGAGCCAAAAGAAACTCTTTCTCGATCGACATGTTGAGTCAGCATCTTGATGGATCGGTCCTATGTTTTCTTTAAGCTCGAGCCACTTGTCCTTCTGTTTGGAAACATAGTTTTTGGACTACATATTTCATTGTAATGGCGATGTTATTGGTAAATACAACTGCAATTTTGAAAGCCATTCGAAATTCACTGCTCCTAATGGCCCTTTGACAATGTGGACTGCGTGGAGGAAAGATTGACGATTCGGCAACCCGCCAGATGTGGTCTGAGCTACTTGATGTGTTTTCCCTCCTAAAGCTTCACGATATAAGTTCTAGAAAGGTTCCGAATGATCGTCATTATCAAAGATTGTGAGTGAGTCTAACTGCATTCGCTTTGCCGTGTTGCGCCATGCATGCGACTCCTATTGGGGATTGAAAAGGTATTCTTGGCTTCACAGTAAGGGGCAAGCTGTGACCCACTTTAGTGTTTCTTCTCCCACTAAAATTCAACTCCGTCTGAGTCAATGGCGTCGGAGGAAAGCTCTATCGGCCTGGCTGGGTCAAACTTCAGACCATTTGATTTCAATAGCGCTAGTCATTAGTCATTACGCTAGGTACGTGCCTAGCCTGAAGTTTAAAAATCGTGTTTCTCTTGAACAAATGCGGCTGTCGGAGGTCTCTTTTGATTGGAAAATGTGAATAACAATCTGTACAAGTTCTTAAAAACCAAATTGTCTGTTCCCCTCTTGTTTCTACGAACGTGCCGTCTTTTGATTGATGTCGCCGGTGTCGCCTATGCTCAGTTTAAACTGTAAACTGCCATTAATTTAAGTTTAATTGACGAAGCAGCTGAACCTAGCACTTACTCTGAACTCTGGATTGAATGTAGTGATGCCGTGTAAGCGTTCCGCGATTGCCTGGCTGTTCTAACCTCCTTCCAACTTCTCCCTCTTTGGTGATGGATATCCTCAACCCTCGAATTTTTTCTTTGAAGGA